GCGCGAATTAAATTACGAATAATAATATTTATTAAAATTGATCGACACACGTAAAAATTTCGTCGATGTTTCATCTTATCGTAGAATATAATTAGAAAAAAAAAAAATAAAAAAAAAAAAAAAAAAAAAGAAAATATATGAAAGTTAACTATCATAATTCGCATGAATTCGATTTTACATAATAACATGTCTTATGTTAGAGTGATATTACATAATAATGATGAATAAGTATTTAATGGTTAATCTGTACAAGGTGAAACTTATGAGAATAGCATCGTTTTTTTTCATATCATCAAGAATAAAAAGAAATAAATCAATTATTTACGATGAGCTTTCATTATAAACTATTTCCAAAATTCGGTAATTATTATTATTAATTATTATACCTACATATATATCAATAATAGCGGATCTATGCGTTGACCTAATCACCATACATATATTGTAATTTTTTATGATTTTTTATTTCGAACTCTGCGTTCACCCAAAAGAAATTTCTTTTATCGTGATCCCTCGATCTACAAAACAAGACAGACGAGATTTCTAATGAACATTTTAAAAATGTAAATAAGAGCGTATGAAACTATAATATCGAAGTTAAGGAAAAAGAAAACGTACAAAAAATCCGAAAAAAAGATGTTGAAATCGTTAAACGTAACCGATATATATATATATACATACATAGTATGAAATATTTCAAACAATTTAGATCATAAATCTTAGGAATAGAAAGTTGTTTCACCCGTTAGTGGTTATAAGAGTGTATGACCCTGCATAAAAAAATAAAAAGGACGAACCGTTGATAGAGAAAATGCAAGAGGGGAAGAAAAAGGAAAAAAAAGAAATTAAACAAGAAAAAATAACGAGGATAAAACATATTACTCGCCTTCTTTTTCTTTCTTTCTTTCTTTCTTTCTTATTTGTTTTCCAATCGTAAAACTCTAGATGCGAGAAAATGCGAATATTATTATTAGAATAAAAGACAAATTTCACAACTAATATATATATGTACATCTTAAACTATTTATTTGAAAAAAAAAAAAAAAACAAAAATAATTTAATTGAAATAATTGTTCGTTGAATTTTCCGAATTATTGTTTTAAATGTTAACTGGAAAAATTTCATTGCAAAATACGCGCAATATCGTTACAAAATTCTCCATGATCGTGAACAGTGCATGCCGAGAAGAAGCGTAGTTAATGTTTTAAAGAAAGAAAAAAAGGAAGAAAGAGAGCGAGAGAGAGAGAGAAAGAGAAAGAAAAAAAAAGCCTTCAGTGATAGCGTTATCGCGACCCTCCGACTTCTGCGACGGCAACAAGAACGCTGTCTCTTGGTTTTCAACAAAAGCCAAAAAAAATATATACATATATATATATATATATATATGTGTGTGTGTCTGTAACAAAATAAAAAATTAAAAATTGATGCGTGGAATTATTCGTCGAAGTGTTATATACGCATAACGACGCGCGCGGTTTCTCCTATTATCTAATTTTTTTTTTTTTATGCGATATCGTGAAAACACAAAAAATATACAAGTTTTTTTTTTTTTCGTATACACTTATTTATGTTTACGTTCGATCATCAACTTGCTTACTGGCAACGAGATTTCGAAAATACAATTAATTAATCTTCGGTATTATTTATTATTATTTCGAGTGCATTATAATATACCGAGTAGTATATATTTCGTATGTTTTGATAAATCCATGCAAAATGTATAATTTTGCGCGTGAAACATCAAAAAAAAAAGTATAAGTATAATTTAATGTAAGATTTGTTAGTTAAAAGAAATATTTCTCCATCACTTGTCGAATGTTAATTTTCTTTTAATATATTTTACACATACGAGTCTTTTTTTATCATTATATTTTATTCTTGTTTTAGATAACGATTTGAGAATGGGTACTGGAGGAGCTGCAACGGGCTCGGTTTTGGGTCTTCCAAATACTGGTGTTACTAATACCATATCTCAGCATTGTGCAATATGCGGTGATCGAGCTACGGGAAAACATTATGGTGCAGCTTCCTGCGATGGTTGTAAAGGTTTCTTTAGAAGATCAGTCAGGAAAAATCATCTCTATTCATGCCGGTAATTAGAACTAAATTATTCATATGAAGATTTTTTTAATTACAACGATACTGTGGAAATCTTACCTCGCGTATTAAACGAAAATATATCATTAGCATGTAAAAATAACGCGTCCCATTATTCAAAGACAAATCATATGAAATTTTCTTTTTTTTTTTTTTTTTTTTTTTTTTTATCGAATTACTTGCAGATCATTTTGTAAGTTAGTCTAAAAATATTTTGACCTGTTGCGCATTATCGACAAAATCGACTGGAAATCGAAAAAATCAAATAACCAAACTCAGCAATTCAAATTTTGTCAGTATCGTAACAGAAATGGAAAAATTGTTGAATGAAATAATTACAATGTCATTCTTTTACAGAGCTCATTTTTACTTCTAATTTTGTTTCTACCAAAAAACAACATTACTTTCAAATCATTCGATTAAATGTTATCGTTTCTTTTTCTTTTCTTTTTTTTTTTGTTCTTAACAGTTTCCAATGATTTGTCGACAATACGCAAAAACCCTTTTATACTTTTTTTTTTATGTAATGTTATCTTTCTTTTTAAGTATATCTATACTTGACAGATTCCACAGGAATTGCATTGTTGACAAGGACAAACGTAATCAATGCAGATATTGCAGACTTCGAAAATGTTTCAAAGCTGGCATGAAAAAAGAAGGTTTGTTCGAACAAAATAATATAATTACAAAGAAAAATATTAATAATATCAGATATATATATTTTTTGTTTGTATTCTTTCAATACAGCTGTCCAAAATGAAAGGGATAGAATAAGCTGTAGAAGGCCCAGTTATGAAGAACAAGCTAACAATACTAGTGGACTATCTACTAATACGTTATTTCAAGCTGAACTGCTTAGTAGACAAGTAGGATCAACCTTAGAGGTCAGTATAACTTAACCTCAGGCAAGCTGAATATTTATAATCGGAACTTGCGTTCGTTAATGCGTCGTTGTATCAAGAAAATGGCTACGGCCTGCATAATCGCAAGCTATTTAATTATATTACATTGTTACCATACATAGAAAGATTCTTCACTCTCTTTGTCTTTGTCCTTTCTTTATCTTATTATTATTGTATAAGTTTCCATCCTGTTTTTATTGTTCAATTCACGCGATCAATCGATTATTCAAATTTTGAAAAAAAAAAAAAAACAAAAACAAAATGTACTTTTGTATAAAAATCTATATAACTCGAATTAAATTGTGTTAGCAAATGAAAATTCTACGCGTATCATTTCTATTTTTTACTTTTTAATATTAAAATTTAAATAGATTTACCCCTTCCAACCACCATGTACGATCTTTATTAAGTTCATTGATTCCACGTAGATTATTATTACTTCCTTTTTGATTCTACTTTCAAACAAAAGAAAAGAATAAAAAATATTATCGGTCGTTTACCTTTCGATCGTTAATTAAACGCCATATTTAAAAATATATACATTTGGCATGAGCCAATTATGCTAACCGGAGTTGTTCGAGTCCGATTGAACGAAGAGTACTTTCGATCAAAGGATAGACAAATAAAAAAGAAAATAAAAGAGAGAGAGAGAGAATTAAAAAAAGAAAAAAGAAAACATTTAAAATAAATAAATAAAGAAAAAAATAAATAAATAAAGAGAAAAAGTAACTGTGAGAACAAACTATACAAATGAAATGGATTATTTTAACAGGCAGCAGTCAACGAAACTGATCTTAGTACGAAGCAGATAGCGAACATAACCGACGTGTGCGATAGCATGAAGCAGCAATTGCTGATCCTCGTCGAGTGGGCCAAATACATTCCAGCATTTACTGAGCTCACGCTAGACGACCAAGTGGCATTATTAAGGGCGCATGCAGGCGAACACCTACTACTTGGTGTTGCAAGACGCAGTATGCACCTTAAGGACGTATTATTGCTCGGAAATAATTGTATAATCACCAAAAATTGTCCTGGTAAGCTGAATCCCACGATAATAAAAAAAATCATCTATTATAATATATTATAAACGTAGTAAAAGTAATTTTTTTTACTTTGGTTTAACATGGTGGTTTAGTTTTTTGGTGTGTGTTTTGTTTTTTATTTAATTTTTCTTTTTTTTTTTTTCGAACGCTTACAAAACAATTTTGTTTTTTTTGTGCATGTTTATTAATTTCTTTTTGTATTATTATTGTACCGATTATTAACGACGAATCGGAATGAATCGAATTAATTAATAAGTATTGCTTGAATTTAATAATTATCTCTCGAATTTTATTTGATATTTATTATATTTCAAATGATAAAAAAAAGGGTGTATGTTGACACCGTATCAAATTATTATTCTAATTTTGGCGTGCGAACGTTCGTACATATGTGACAACTAATTTAGGACGGTGAAAGAGAATTATTATTATTTATATTACACAAATTAAATACGCTAAAACAAATGTCTTTCTAACTTGTTCGATTCAATCCACTCGGGTCTACGATTAATCGGCACAAATGGGTATTTGTGTGATTTTTTTTCTACTAACATTTTAAAGAAAGAAAAAGAACAACACAAAAAAATATTCAAATCAAAAAAATATCTTATTCAACATTGAAAGATTTCAAGATTCCCGTCGTCAAATATGTATGACCATTGTTACATTGTCTCATGAAAATGTGTATAATTCGAATGGCGAAACGAATACATACATATATGTAAATGTTGTAAAAAATAAAAAAAAAATAAAAAAAAAGAAAAATACAAGAAAAATAAAAAAAAAAAAATAAAAAAGAAAAAATAATGTGAGCAAGTAGGATATCAAGGATTATATCCTTTACGCGTCGATCGAGATTTCTTGATAAATTCTTACCATGGGGTTTTGTGTTACTATACTTTATTCAAACATCGATACGAACATTATGTATATATGTATGTGCATATCTACTTAAAGCTACGAATTATTTAATTCTCCCCGCTAAAAAGTTGAATCGAGCAGAACCTTCTTAACAAACACACGAGGTACAAATACACGCTCACGCACGCATACATATATACATACGGACAAAAATGTATACACATATACACATAGGATTTGCGGCCTTCACCTTTTATCCTTACGTAATTTGGCCTTCGAATTGGTTATATGCGTCGCGTACCCCATGTCACAACATTGCCACGTCTATTTATCATCGAAAATTCTTTTTTTTTCGATAGTCGATTCATCATAATGATTATTGTCCTTCCATATTTCTAAGCTTATTATACTATTTATTATTATGCAACGTTTTTATCTTCATCTTCTTTTTCTTTCTTTCTTTCTTTCTTGTTTATTTTTTAATGACAAAGAAATGCCTAGATGATACGACGAATCAACGAGCTCCATTGTATTTATTATTTAACGCGAATTTATTTTTTTTTTTTTTTTTTTTGACATTTTCATATTCTGTGAGATCGAACGTATATTTCTTCTTTCTTCTACAATCGTATCGAAATTCAAATTTTCGTTCTATTATACGAGATGTAATTATGCATGTAATTTTGGAACGAGATAAGAGATACATAGAGAAAGAGAGAGGCAGAAAACAATTATTTATGCTGATTTCTTATAAAAAAAAAAAAATACAAAATATTGAATGTGGACGAAAGAAACAACACAATGATCCAAATAATATTTTGTTTTTTATTAAACGTAAATGCATACGTACGTACATGTGTTATCCAAACACAGGTCTTGCTTGTTGGATGATAATTAAACGGGTGAGTTTAGCTGGATGTAAATGATACATGCACCTTGTAATGTCATTTTGTTGCTAACAAAAAAAAAAAAAAAATACAACGAGAACTTTTCAAATTTATGCATGTGGTAAAAGGTTATTGTTGCAATTAGAAAGGAATGCTTACATTTATACTTTATTTTTAATCAGCACTAACGTTATATTCCAATCAATAATTGCATTGGAATATTCAGGATTAGCATAAAACTTTTCTCATACTTTAATAAATTATATTTAATTACGAACGAAATATTATTACACAGTATGTGTATCAGATCAATTCTTACAAATCTTGTTCACTCAATATATGCAGAACTATCAATATATTTGTCTAAAATATATAAAAATGCAAATGAAAATAAAAAAATATTTCATGAAACGTGTGGAAAAGTTTGACGCTCGTCCTGCATAACGTTATTCTTGCATCGAATCGATCGGGTTATGAATATTCTTTTTCTTTTCGGGCAACAAAAATATTGTCATCGAAAAAAGATCGATCTAAATTATAAATATAAAAAAAAAAAAGAAATTAACCCGAACGATTCGTTTGAATATATTTGCACGATACTTTTGGGCTGTAGCTAGTTGACTGAGTCCGGAATTATTGTTTAGTGTTGATCGGATTGCATGCAGTAAAGGATTGGATGGTGATGGTTTTGTGTGAGTTTAGATTCCCCTCTCCCCCCGTCTTCCAAAAAAAGAAAAAAAAATTAATAAGAAAATATGAGATTCATTGTCGCCGGGCTCAGTCGTGGTTATTAACAAAGGAACAGTATAACCGTGGTTATCAGTAATAACGTTTTCAACAGAAGGACGTAATCAAGAATTGGACATCAGCAAAGTTGGTTCGAGGGTAATTGAGGAACTTGTGAAACCGTTGAACGACATCCAAATGGATGATACCGAGTTTGCTTGTCTCAAGGCTATCGTGTTTTTCGATCCATGTAAGTAAACAGAACAATAATTTTATATAATAATGAGAAGAAAAAAAAAAAATAAGAAATTAAAGAAAATAAAAATTAAAAAATATATATAAATATAATAAATCATTAATTATTTCCATCGGCATATACACCATCACACGCGGGTTCTTTAAAGTCTAAACGATAAATTAGATCTAATTGAGACAATCACGTCTTAGATATATATATATATATATATACATATGTGCTAACGAAGAAAAATAAAAAAAAATAAAAGGAAAATCATAAAAATATGTATTTAAATCTTTCTTTTCATAGACGCGAAAGGTTTGAGCGAGCCAACAAGAATCAAGAACATACGTTATCAAATTCAAGTCAATCTGGAGGATTATATAAGCGATCGTCAATACGAAAGCCGTGGTCGTTTTGGGGAAATATTATTGACATTGACGGCATTGCAATCGATCTCTTGGCAAATGATTGAACAAATCCAATTCGTCAGATTGTTCGGAGTAACACACATAGACAATCTTCTGCAAGAAATGCTTCTTGGTGGTGCAGCTACCGAATTGAACGGAACTTCAACGCCAATGCAAATACCAAATGCACCTGGAAGTTACGTAAGCAGTAATGAAAGTCCTACAAGTCCGTTGACACCTTCTAATATTGCTGGTGGTCCAATAAGTCCCCAAGAACAAATATTATCAGCTGCCAGTCCTGTTCTTATCATTAGGGATCTCGTATCTATCGGAGGACAGGAAGATGTAAGCTCAGTTAGTGGTTTCAGATTATTTAAACAGGAACCTAATCTTGAACCTGAATCAACCTTCTGACTAGATCAGGAAGAACTTATTTAGTAAACCGATTTTTTCATTTTATTCTCCTTCATATACAACGTTCGGAAAATTATTTAATTATACCTTTCCTATATTCATCGATCATCACACGTGGATGGATGGTTTCAAACAATTTTCTTTCGCGGTCTAATTAAAAAATAGATTTATTATTTCTTTTTTTTTTTTCATATTCCAAACTTTTCAATCCATCCACGTATAATTTTACGCGTACGGAATTTTAGATGCTCGTAATTTGTAGATCTAACGCGAAAGAAAAGTAATTAAATACTTTTCTGTGCGTGTTACACTCAAAGATCATTCCCTTTTGATAGAAAAGACATCTTTCCTTTTTTTTATATTTGTTAGCAATCAAACGGAAAGGTTTTTAAAAGATGTATTATTATCGATCATCGAATTACATGTTTACTTTATTACGAACATTGAATCACGAACTACGATAATCTTCAAGGCCGTCTTCGAAAAAAAAAAGAAAAGGAGAAAAAATGTGGATTAAGAAATATTATTTCAAATCGAAAAGAGATAAGTTTTTTACGAAAGTGACGTGAATTATCTATAAGAGATATCGAACAACGAAAATTGTTTATCTCGTTTCCCGTATCTATCGGACATAATCGAAGATGTGAGTGGCACTCTTCTTTTTCTATTTTTTGTTTTTTCTTCGTTTCTTTTTCTTCTCTTTTTCTTTTTTTACAATAGCTCAGTCAGTTATGGCCGTCTTTTTATTTTTCAAATTAAATTCCTCACCTGTATAAATAACGATCGATCATTGAAAAGATAAACGGGATAAGAGATAAGATTGCATCTCCGTCATAAGCTGACGCCATTTAAACGGACATTGTTAATCTTTTAAACTTCTTCCTTTTTCTCTTTTTTTTATATTCTATTTCTCTTGAATGAAAAATAGTAGAATAAGAATTGGTAATTAATAATCAAGCTAATGAACGATGAAAAACATTTTTACGGTTAATAAAAGATGGTATCGAAATGTATACAATTCTAATGAGACGTGCAAGAACCAAATATGTGATCATTTTTCTTTATTAACGTCTCTTGACAAAAAAATATTATATTTTAAATACTTTATATATATTTTGTTGCATGTGATTTTAAAAATTTTGAAATATATTTTTTATATAATTTCGTCTATAATTTTAATTAAAAAAAGAAATACTTTTGTTATAAATATATATCAAATTTTTATATACATTACTGGAATTACTTAGTTACGTCTTTTAAAATATACAAAACATACAAAAAAAAAAAAAAAGAAAGAAAAATAAAATAAAAATAACATAAAGAAACCAAAAAAAACATGAAGAAAAAAAATTTTGTATTAAACGTTAAAGACTATATTTTTGTAAATTTAAAATTTTGAAACTATTAAATTTTATGCATGTATATATATATTTATATACGTAACTAAATAGAATTGTATGCATAAACATTGCATTCATGCTCGCATAATTATTTAAAAATCTTTTACTAACTATTACTACGTTAACTTTTTCTCATTATTTTATATTTTTCTTTAATAAACTAATGCCAACATTTAAATAATTAGAAAACTTTGAAACATCACGGTGTTCACAATAAGAACATATATACCTCGTATGTGCTTTGATTATTATTAATTGAAAAAAAATCACATTCCAAACGTAATAATATTAAGATAGATTAAATTATATTTAAGTAATCGTTAAATAATTCAAAGGAAAACACGTGCAAAATATATGCAAAGTGTTTTTCTTTGAAAATATAACAAGCCATTACAATGCAATTTCTATTAATAATGCTGTTAAACTATACATAAATGTATTGATAATCTCCTGGAAGATAATCGATGCCTTATAAACAGAGAGTCAATGCATTTTGTTAAGATCATTTCCAAAAAAATATCTATATTAACATAATGGCCGGATAAAAAGCAATAGTATAATATATATATATACTTTTATATAATTATTAAATCAATTATTATATGATAGACATATGTTTCATCAAATGAAGGTGTGTTTGTCAGATACACTTATAAAATCTTAGAAAAAACATGAATGATGATATTCTAAATACTGCTACTATGCAATAATGTGATAATGATATTTAAAAGCACGATACGACGCAATATTCCTGTTGTTACCGATATTGTAGTTATTTAAATATTTTTTCATATAAAAGAATGATAACTTTAATGCCACAGAACAGTGGTATGCAAATTGTTAATACTTGTTGACATGATTGATAAAATGTCTACAAGTATCGTCGCTATGAATTGTTTTGTTATATAAATTAATTTAAGGATAGTCATAATATCAATTTATTAGTGTATGTTCTTATAAAGTTTATGAAAATTTAATTAATTCATACTTTGTGCACCATTGTTGAAAAATATTACATTATAATAGTTGATTTTTTTAAAAAATGCATAATCTATTCTGTATAGTAATTTACAGCAATTACGTTATTAATTTCTTAGATTATAAAAGAATATTCATATATGTATATGTTTACTCCTACATCATAAATATAACTCTATTAATTTAAGAACTTAATAATAAGCTAAGTATATTTTGTATTTTTGTACGAAAAGATTTTATGAACGTCGACTTTTGTAAGGTATGATACAAATATAGAATTAAAATAAAAGTTTTGTCAATTGCATATAGCTAATGCATGTCTATAAATGGCATGAAAGTTATTTTATGGCTTAACATGAGGTATATATATTTTAACATTACTTAGTTATGGGTTGTGAACTAGACATTACCATTTTCCATTGCCTGAGTCTTTTTAATATTGTTGACAGTTCAATGGTTGACTGATTTCGTACAAGAAATGTAAATACAATTTTTATTTGTTATTTAATAATTAAACTATAAGCATTTGTAATTTTAAATAAAGGAATATGTCTTTATTAGTCTCCCTTTTACGGGTTTGAGGAACTTTTTTACGACACCTTTCTAACACAGCCAAAAGCTTTCCAAAAAAGTCATCTTACTACCGCCTCTCTAGAGTCAACAGCACATGGTGTTCCCAAGTGATCATTGATCAAAGTACTAACCATGCCCATCGTCGTTTAACTTTAGTGATCTTACGGGAACTAGTGCTTTAAACGAGGCAAGGCTGTTGACAGAATAACACAATATGTGATTTTTAAATTATCCACTTTATTTGAAACTATATACTAACTGAATAATAAAAAAGAATTTCTAATATATATCACTTTTCAAATTAATACATAATCTTTTGATTTGCATATCTCTGTTGTTACAAAACCTATAAAACTGTAGAATTAAAAATATTAATCCCTTGCACTATAACAACATATGAGACTTGTGATATGCTCAATGACCATAGAAAAATGAAATATAGCACCAACTTTGGCACGCAGCTAAGAATGTTAAATCATAATGCAATAGGTTTATAAACGATTCTCCTAATATTACTACAGTATAAAAGTCTTTTTTTAGTTCAACTAAAGTTAAAATTCCTATGTATGCAATACGTATGCAATTATGACTATTAATAATCTAATTAACTATATATATCATACATTGTACATTAAAATAAATTAAATTCTATTTATTCATAATCAGTGCGTTTACGTTTCTTAAGATTAGCAGCCACCTCCGACGTCTCTATGATACCTGTACCTTTTTTTAACCAATCGTTTAATTGTACCTTAGCTTTTCTACTAATTAAAAACAAATCTCTTTCCAATCTCGGAAGCTGACTACCCAACGTCAGATCCGAAATAGGATTCTGTGCCCAATCCATGATTAATCTGAATCGAGATTTAAAAGTCTGAAAGTTAGAAAAAAAAATAAAACTAAAAGAATCCTATCATAAAGAACTTAAATGTAAACTATAAAAATATTTAAACATAAGGAAACATTAAAATAATAAACATAATGATATCAATTTATCAAAGCAATCAAAAATCACAAATTATTAATGCGATACCTAAATATTAGAAATAGATTAATTTCAATATGTTCGCTAACTTTATTTCCATTCACTCACCTCGAACAAATTTTCTGTTATTTTCTCACTTTCTCGGATGTTGAAAGTTCTTAAATACATTCCTACCTCGTAGAAATAGGGGTTCCATTTGCTCAGCGATACTGCACAAGCATCCGCTTGAAGAATTTCTCTGCGGACAGAAAGTTGATGTTGAGTTGAAGTTACATACATTTGTATTTTTATATACATTTATGTATTATAAATGATTTATATATATAAAATCTTTAATTTATATTTAAAAATACTAACCTATAATTATCCTTATATATTTTTGGTAATTCTATGCTGATAAGTGATCCTTGTATAACGTTGAGAGGATGCGTTAACCAAATGGGAAATTCCAACTTTGTTCCTTGCTTTAAGTCTTCCAAATTATTAGAAATATCCAAGAAACCTGAAAAAGAATGTTATGTTAATATATATAATTTAATCAAAGAATCAAAATATTTTAAAATCAAATGTAAAGTAATATCAAATGTAAGTAATTAAGGTTAGGGTTAGAAAAACTTACCTAAACCAGGTAATGGAATATCGATCGTACATAATATACGTTCTTCTGTAGCTAAAATGTCGTTTATAGAAAAATAATCTGGAGTATAACTACAGCATAAAGGCATTTCTAACAAAACAAACGAATTATAATCAAACGCAACGCACACACTAATAAACTTGATAAAGGATTAAAAAATGGCAGTAAATTTTTACCGCCTTTGGCAAATCAAATACTACGTTGATCAAAGGTAATATAAAGGCGCGCGATTTAAACGCGGTAAAATTCAAAAATTGATAGCTCTTTAAGAATGATACGAAATCTTATAGAAACTAATACGTTCTTTTCATTATTATTTTATTTCGACAGTTCAAGACTTATGGACAATTATTACATAATAATTTTATATGATGAAAGTTTCCTTGTTGGTAATTTTTGTAACGTTCCAAGGTGTATAGCTTCGTTTGTAATCCTCTCTCTCTCTCTCTCTCTCTCTCACACACTTCTCCATCATATTCTCTCTCTCTCTCTTTCTCTCTAATAATATTCATACAACCCATCACTCTTTCACGAAAAAAGAAATAAAAATGTTCATTTAAACTATGAATGAATTATGAAATGCGTGTACTCTTGATTATTGATCGTCAATTAAACATTATTATTCTTTATCATTACCAATACATTATAATCATTAAATTTACCATTAATCATTAGGATTACGATATAACGCTATTATTATATTTTCTGTCCAGTTTTACTTCATTAGTCAAGTTGTTCTTTTTCTTCTACCTCCCCTTTTCTTTCCTTTATGTATTTTTTTTTCATTACTTTTTCTTTTTTTTTTTTTTTTTAGTGCAATCATTTTATTTTATTCGTAACGATAGAAATTACGTTTGTCGTACATATTATTTTATAACCGCGAACGTGTGTGCGTATTTATCGCGATTATCTCGTAATATTTGTTATGTCCAGATAAAAAATTTCTAGACGACGATCGGGATTCTCACTCTTTCTCCTACTTTTTTTTTCATTTTCTTTTTCTTACAACGCCACGTCGGTCGCCCCAGATTTGATAGAATAAAAAGCGTTTTTATGTTACATAGGTCTTTGCAAAAAGGTCAAAGTTGAGACCCCTTCTAAAACTGCCAGTACATCGCTACCCTTTTCGAAACATCCCTCTTTTTTCTTTCTTCATTTTTAGTATCCTTCTTTCTTTTTTTTTTTTAACAGATATTTAAAGCGAGTCGCACAAAACGCATTTATTCTCTATACTCTTCCGAGAGAAAAATATTTATTATTGATCTCTCGAGATAATATTATTGTTCTTGTTGAAGTTATTGTTGGTTGTTGTAGTCTTTTCGATATTAATTCGATCGAGTTTTCGATTCTTTCGACATAGTTTAATTGCCGATTTTGGTCGATATGAATCCAAGTATACCCATTTCTCTTTCTTTCATTCATTCTTTCTTTCTTTCTTTCTTTCTATCTTCCTTACTTATTTCTTTTCAATAATCTTCACATTTATTATTTATTATATTTTCTATGTGTGTATATTGTTATGCGTGTACATTTTATTATTTTATTTTATTTTATTTTATTTTCTTGATCGAAGGAACGATCACGTTGACTTTCACGAACTCGTCGAACAACCATCGACAAATTGGAATTATGTGTGAATATTATATTATAATATTTACTTACGATATTATTGTATCGCGATGAATCTTTAAAAAGTTAATCCTAGAAAAAACGATCGCGTTTAATAAATAAGGGCTGGTACAAAATTTTGGTTTAATCGTCGTTTAAAAGCCAACGTTAATGCATTCCATCATTTTTATGATAAACAAACTCCTCTTAATTCTTAGTTCATTTAAACATTTGTATGAATGTGTATGCACGCATGCATGAATGTATATATGTGCGTGTGTGTATATGTGTGTTCGTCTTTTCCCCATACACTTCCGTCATATATTACTATTATTATTATTATTATTATTATTATTTAATTGTCTCGTCGTGTGAAGAAAATTACGCTCAAAATTTTAATCGAAATTTTAAAATGTGCGAAAAGTGTGCATAATTTTACATTAAAATAATGTACTTTTATGCTTTATGTATATGTGTACGAGTTTCTGTATGCACGTAATACGAATGTATGTATGTATTTAAATATGTTTAACAGCATTATGCAGTTATTTACTACGCGCCCTACACGTCATTCTTTCCTTCATCATGCTCGTACGTTTTACCCAATTTCATTTCTTTTCTTTATATTTTTGTTCGTATCTTTTCTTCTATTTCCACCGAGCGTCGAAAACTATGTGACTAGAAACGCTATGTTTGTATGTGTGTGTGTATGTTTGTATGTGTATAAATATGACTTAGGTTTAATATAATGTAATATAATATAATATAATATAATTTAATATATAATATAATATAATATAATATATATATGTGTGTGTGTGTATGTATATATTTATAATATTTATATATTACTTACGACCCCTTTTCATTTCTCTCTCATTTTTTTTGTTGTATTTTATTTTTCTATGATAAACCTTTTTATAGGTTTTTGTCTCGTAATTTAAGCTAATTTTACAATAACATGGCAACAATGGTGAAAATTAATAATACTCTCTCTCTCTCTCTCTCTCTCTCTCTCTCTCTCTCTCTCTCT